AGGGAAAGGAGGCACATTGCTTGAGGTGGTTGTTGAAACAACTTGTTGGGAAAGTAGCATAATTGTGGTAATCCTGTACCAACAAAAATAAATGGAGGAACCTTTCATTATTTGTTTATCAAAGGTAAGAAACAAATGGAATGGAGCAAGAATAAGAAGTTAAAGCCTAGTGGCTCTTACTCATATGTCTTCCATATCCTCAGGCTTGACCTAGGTTACACTTGTCTGCCAGTAGCATAGCTCATCTGATTTTAAAAAATGTGTGCTTGAAAGCATGACTCTCTGCCCAAAGGACCTGCAGCCTGATTTCATTAAAAGTCAGCTATAAATCTTTGCAGGATTTTCATTATTCTTGGGGCAGTCTCGTCTTTACATGACTGACAAACTGAAGGCACGATTGATTTTGGGCAGCACCTACTACATCTGGATCAAATGGTCCTGATTCTGTGAATCGGGCTTTCAACAGCTCTGAGCACTTGCTGCAGTGTAACCTTCAGTGGTTCCTATCCAGAAAAAGAGCGGCATGTAACACTCTGGCTTAGCTTGGTTCATGTCTGTCGGCATGGTTGGAATGACATTTTATTTTGCTTTAGTGGATGGGCTGTGTATTCATTGCCTGTCCCTTGTGAAATTGCCTTTTTGCTGAAATGAGAGAAATGTAGCAATTTTGGGGAGTTATATCTAAAATATGGGACAGATCACTGGCTTGTAGAAATTGAATTACTGCCTGCTTTTTAGTGAACATGACAGATTCTCTCTTAAGGGTAAATCAGAGGTATAGTATCCAGAATGCTAATACAGCATTATGTCCCAAATTCTCATCCAGCTACCTTGGATCTCTGAAGCCTTTTTCAATACCTTGGTGAAAGCCCAGCTTTACATTTCATCAGCCAACATTTGGGGGAATTTTGTAATGGCAAATTATTCCTCACCAGACATTGCAACACTGCGTAGTAAATAGCTTGCATAAATTAATCTTTTAAATGTTTGGGTTTCAATCTTCTTCACCATGGAAGGCCTTCATGGCCTTTGCCTGGTATTTTTCTACACCTTTGTCCAGGAAGGCAGGGTTTGGCATGGAGTGGGAGTTGGGTTGAACCAACATACCTGGGGGCGTGGGATGGGAGGGATTTCTTCCTTTGGAGCTGCTCAGTTAGGAGCAATGAAGAGCTTTGCCTGGGGGAGACACTGGCTCTTTCCACAGTGGCTTGTTCCCCTTGTTCATGATTCTTTAGTCAGACCAGAAGGGCAGAAAGGGAATTTGCTGGGCCTGGGTAGAGACCCTGCTTGCTGGAGTCTTCACCAGGTGTGGCTGGTCTGGAGTCTAGACATGCAGGTTGGTGGCCGGGATGGCTCTGTAGCCACCTGAGAAGCCACCAGGAAATAGGGTAGTAGTTTGAATGTTCGCTATGTCCACTTTAGGATGCAGACATTTGGGACTGAAGGAGATGATTAATCCCCTGGACTAGCTGTTTGATGGCCAGATTTTGCCTTTTTAAGAGGCTTAATGATAGAATATATTTGGCAAGTTTCCTCCAAGCTTCAATTCTATGTTTCAGGCTTCATTTACTGCTGTCACCATAAAATTTCTGTCCCTATGTGTCTTTTTATTTCTTTGCTCAAGGAGATGCTAGAAGTCCATTAATTTAGAGATGGGTGGAGGGAAGAGTGGGGACGACTGGGAGAAAACTTGTCACTGAAAGTAGGGTGTGATAATGACTCAGATCCCTGTTTCTTGGGTCAGCCCATTGTTTGCTATGGCTTGCGTGGAGTCCTGAGAGTTGTGATGGTTCTGTTTGGGGCTCCTGTTGCCCATTGCTGGGCAAACGCTGACCTGCCCTGACCTGAAGATGGTCTCACTCCAACAGGACTTAGACTGTAAGCTCTCTTTTGCTCTTGGTCATAATCTTCAGATGATGATTCAAGTCGTGGCTGGCTGCTTCGAGATGAAGACTTGAGATTCTCCTAAGAGGGCAAGTGAGGAGATAATATTCAAGAGAAAGTTGTTTGGAGAGAAGACCAATTGGAGCTGTTAGCAATACCAGTGCTGTATTTGATGATGTCAAAGCCATTGATTGGCTCAAAATTAATGTAACAGCACTTTTTTGGATTTCATTGTAGCTCCTTAAGAAGGCAGAAAAGCAGTCCATTGTGGGGGGAAAAACCATAAAATCCTTCTTTCCTGAAATAAATACTGACTCAGAGGGTGGCAGACCCAGCTCAAGTGTAAGACACCCTTGTACTGTGGGACCCTGAAAAATAGCCCCACAACTACAGACTTGTGTGATACTAACATGACCTGACATAATATATATCATATCATATCATATCATATCATATCATATCATATCATATCATATCATATCATATCATATCTACATAAAACCTGTAAATAGTCCCACAACAATAAATGTATTATAACTATTGACATTGAAAATAGGCTAGTTATGCATTTGTTTTCCTCTCTCTTAGCCTCCTATTATTTTTACTTCTGCTAGTAAAGCCAAAGGAAAATAATAGTAGTTAAGCATTCATTTTATGCTGATTAATTTCTTCTTTGTTTTAAAACTCAAAAGAAAAGGAATATCAATGAAACAAAACAACAAATGCAATAATTCAGACGCCAGACATGCCAGAGAGCAACACATATCACTGGAGATAGGGAGAGAGAGGAGTCATTATGATCATATAAGAAATCTTTGGTGAAAACAAAGTTCAGTCTCTCTAAGAGCATCTGTGGCTTTCTTGTTACTTAGAAATTAACCCATTTTTTATCTCAGGGGAATTGTATTCATTTGAACTTGTTGATTTGGAAGTGCATTGCATTAGTGAATTACACCATTTAGTGAAGAGCCAAGCAAGTGTCAGGAGAAAAACCCAAAAGGCCACACTGCAAAATGTACTTTGTTAATTTATTTAATGAAGCCAGATCTTTTATTTAGAATGATTCAGCAGAAATGCAACAGAAAATTGGATGGTTTATTTAAATGAAATCTGATAGTGAAGCAATTTTCTGTAGCACTGTCTCTCCTTGTAAATTTGGTGGTGGCGGCACTGAGGGATAAAGTGATAAGTGGAGTGCTAGGACACTTTTTCAAATCAATAGAGTGTTAAGGGGGCTGAGGTTTGGGCGGGTTTTTAGCAGTAGTATCAGATGTAATTTAAAGTCCTTAAAATTCTGCAGTTCTGATTTTCAAATCATGTGAATGAAGAGCAACATGCCTCTGTAGTCCCTTGTCCCTAGTAGTGAGGCTTTAAATAGCTATGCTTCAGATTAAGAAATCACTGGTGCACATTAACTTTCAGCCAACATGTAAGGAATAAACTGTATTAATTAATGAGTTAATCTGTCTTGAATGCAAGCTGATAGTAATCAGATGTGAAAAAGAAACCTAGTATGGTTCATCAGGTCCAGTTTGTGTAGGATGTGCTGTATAGTAATTTGTTATGAGCTGTAGGTACTTTTTTTTTTTTTTTTTTTTTTTTTAACCTTTCCCTCCTTCCCAATCCTCTCCCTGTTAGGAGCACTAGGAAGAGCCCAGGAGCCCAGAGGGGTATAATCCTCATCACTGAAGGAACAACACTGGAAATGTGTGTAACACTAACTGCTGAGAGAAACACGCTTCGTATCAGCAGCAATTAAAACTGATGGGCAGCATCATTGGAACCATGGGGTGCAGCAGTTCTGTAGCTGAGAGGAGGTCAGAGAAAGGTGAGTGCTGCTTTTGTCTTCAGGGTCAGAGGTTGTTCTCTCTATAACACCAGAAGATGGTTGCAAGGTAAGTTTCCCCCAGTCCTGTTGTCAAAATACTTGTTCAGAGAAAATTATTTTCTCTCTTCTTTTAAAAGAGTGCATAGCTTTTAGATGCTGGCTGCTGCCAGAAGGCAATTGTGGATCACCTCTAGCATCTACAGATTGAGTTGGAAAAGATTCATAGCATCTGAGACAGAAGCTAAATTTCAGATGTGTGTGTGCTCACTCTGTCACTGGCAAAGCATAATAGGGTAAGGTATTGACAGAGACCTCTTATGGCTTTTCACGCCACAGTGTTCCTGGGCAAACTTCTGCAATTTCCTTGCTGCTGGGTGACCCCGATTATGAAGCACGTGTAGGAAAGCAGAGCTGTTACAATGACTTTCAGAATCAATTTTCTGCCATACCAAGTGCCTGGCCTGAAATTCTCCCTGACAGTCACTGAGGCTGTCAGTTGAAAGTCTCCACAGTACCTGCTTAAATGTTCAATTCGATTAAAAATCTAATGCATCATCACCCTGCTTTTATAGAATCATAGAATGGTTTGGGTTGGAAGGGACCTTAAAGATCATCTAGTTCCAACCCCCCTGCCATCAGCAGGGACACCTTCCACTAGACCAGGTTGCTCAAAGCCTCATCCAGCCTGGCCTTGAACACTTCCAGGGAGGGGGCATCCACAGCTTCTCTGGGCAACCTGTTCCAGTGTCTCACCACCCTCACAGTGAATAATTTCTTCCTAATACCTGATCTAAGCCTCAAAGCCTCATCCAACCTGGCCAAATCATACCACACCCTGGTACAAACACAGCAGGCTTTGCACAGGCAGGTGGGTTCCAGGATTGGCTCAGACCTTTATTCAGACCCTTTGTGTTCTCTTTCAAGGTTTGTCATTAAAGCACAGGTCTGCTGAGAGCCATGTTACGTGGCGCTGCACAGAGATTATTATGCTGAACAACCATGGTTGAAAAGGAAGGCTCTTTTTGGCTACCAAGCCAGGACACAAGTCACAGGAAACTGGTGACTAAGAGGCAGGAGCACTTAGTCATGGCTACAGGGATCCAAGCTCACTGGTTTAAGAGTAGTCCTCAGCTTTGTGTACACTACTTGGCTGTTACAGCAGCATCAGTGCTGTATCACAGCAGTGGAAGTAGAATGGAAACATCTGGAGTTCCAGACCCTTCTGTAACTGTGAAGCAGTCCTTCCTCTTTGGGTTTGCATGCTATGCATATGTGTGCCTTGCAAGGTCTTGGTGACAAGTTAGTTGGGAATATTTCTGAGGGTGCAAAAGCTTGGAGGGGGCATGAGGAGCGGTACTCTTTCTAGGTCTACAACCATCAGTACACATTGGTGAGGAGCCAGGCTTCGCTACCCCAAAGCTGGCTTATGATTTTATGTGCTTGATTGACAATGTTTTGTCCTCTTCAGTTGCTGGATGGTATTCTTTCTGCACTTCAGCAGTAGTCAAATGATGCTGAACCATCATTCTATCAGCAGCCTGAGGCTATACATCCCTCTAATGTGTTAATAACATGAATTTAACAGGTACCTGCTGGTGCAGAGACCTTCTGCAACTGAAAACAATTTCTTTTACAGATGCAGTTTAGCCTAGTGTGAAAATCATGCTCTACTTCAGTCCTGAGAATAACAGCACTGTAATAAGTACAATTAAAAAAAAATGACAGGAAATACTCTGTTATATTTGCAACATTAACCATAGTGGTTGATATGCATCTGTCTTATGTGATACCAGTGTAACTGTGCCATATTAAGTCTTCAGGACCATTAAGCAACCCAGGGGGGCTTTAATGGTTCTGATGCTGGAAATCAGTTTCTCTGCTGGTGGCTGTGCTTTGCCCCTTTGGTACTCTTCTAAACAGAAAAGTTGATGACAGCCTTGCTGTGATGTGCCAGGCTTTCAGGTCTGTGGTGGTGGAGAATTCCAGAAAGGACAGAAAATAAGAGACATCTCAGAGTTTATGTAGGGTACGAAGGATGCTCTTAGTCATATAAGGATTACATTTCCTTCAGGCAGGAGGATTTTTCTAGGATATGTGTGATATCTATAGGATGGGAGTCTTTACTGATTTTGGCCTTGTCTGGACTAGAAAACTTTACCACTTTAACTATACTGTATACTTATGAATGGTACAATAAGCAAACAGCATGCTATTATGGCACCTGTAAGCATTTTTATAAAACAGCTTCCTTAATTAAGTAAGTTTATTAATAGAATCACTTTTCCATGAAGGTTTTTCTTTACCTGCATAACCTTCATTTTAAGAAAATAAAAAATTCTCACTCAGGGGTGCCACTCATCCTAGTCTCAAAATTCCTGGTATTTGTGATCAGCTGAAATAATTAACTCGTGTAAACTGTTGTCCCTCTAGTACAGAGCTTTTCTTTGCTGTTTTGCCGGGAGAGAAAGCATTAGTATGAATTCTTGGTTGCTATTTCTTATTTTGTTTTGTTTTTCAGTATCAACTGTTCATTTTGGCAACTGTAATAAAATAGAAGTTTATTAGTATTAAGACATTAGTGTTGGTTTTAGTTTCCCGTTTTTTCTTTTTTCTTTTTCATGAATGTGCAGTGCTATGCAGAGGTGATTGTGTCAGACTCTGGAATTCAGGACAAGGTCTTAGTTTTCTTTCCATGCTTCACCTGATCATCTGTTCATCTGCTCATAAATGAGCTCTAGTTCTTGGGAGTAAGATCAGTGTATTCCTTTGGTCCTTGTACCTTCGATAGAGTTGCCCTGCAGCTGCTTTGACTTGTTCCCCCAAGATCAGAAGCATAAAGACTTTTTTCTGTGTCCTATGCTGAGCTATTCAGGGTTAGTTCCTCAGGAAACTCCTTGAAGTGAGGTGTTAGCAGCAGGGCTGGAGGAAAAGGCTTGACGTTTCTGGTTCTGTCGACTTATTTACTGGTATCCTGTTGAGAGTACAGGGAAAAAGAGGTAGAGAAAAAGAGGTAAAGAACCAGTCAAGAAAGAATTATGTTCAACTTTAAATGAGTAAATGTGACATCTGTTTTGAGAGCAGCCTCCTACCTTACTCTATTTTTTGTTGCCAGACAAGAATACAGTGGTGGCGATGTGGATGCATTGGGACAGGTGTAGGATCCAGTACCCCTGTGCTCTGGCTTCCTCTCGCTGTTAGGCAGTGATGGATGTAATGCCTCTTGACTGCACCTGTTAGTGCTCTGTAGGGCTAAGCCTGTTGATACAGAGTCCCCTTCTGACCATAATTTAAGCAAATGACTAGATTTGAATTTGCCTGAATTATTTCAGCTGCTAGATCTTCAAAGCAGTACCTGCAATTTATTCTGATTTTGTGTAGTAAATGGTGTCCTCCTCTGGATGATAAATCCATACTCACTTATACCCCAAGTATATAAAACGTATATTTATTCCTCTCTAGCTTATCTTAAAAAACCAACCAACTAACCAAACAAAAAACCCAACCCAGTTAACAAGTGACCAAGGAATGCTCTTCTCAAAGTTAGTTGATCTTTTTGGATAAGCATCCTTAAAGCACTAGAGAGCCACAGCTCTGTGAAACAGCAGAAGTTACTGCTGAGTTCATCTGTTCCTCCTCTCCCAAACTCATGGTTATTTCAGGCTGAGCACAGCCCCCCCCAGCCTTCTGCTTTCACTTCTCCCTACAGGTCTATGGAACTGCAGTGATCACCTACAATGCTGAGGGCACACCTACCTGCCTTTCCTCTTGTCTTCCTGCTGGCAGTGCTACTGCCATCCACATTTCACGCCGTGGCTCCTGAGAGCTGCTGCCCTTTGGGTATCAAAAATAGCAGGGGGGATTGGCAGCATAGTGAGGAGGGATCAGGTGGGCATCAGCTCCTGGAGCTCCTGTCCTCTTGCACAGCTCTCGCTGGTGGCCACTGTTCTTATAGCACTACCTGCTTGACATCATAGGTGTGAGAAGCTCTCCCCACAGGGCAATGCCCACCCCAGTACCTCTTTGTGCCACCAGATGTTATTCTGCTTGATAAACTTTTATCTGAGCAGCTAAGGGAATGTGATCTTTTTGTGGTGTGACTGAGGCCTGTGGCAGCAGGCCCTTCACTCTCAGATACAGTATTGGAGACTGTCCTTCAGTGAAGTTTCCAGCAGTTTTCCATACTAGGACAGTAGTAGACACAACTTCTTAAAGTGCTGAGTGGGATGTGTATTCTGCACGTAGTCCAAAATGGTCTTCTGACATGTCCCATTGGGGACGTCAGATGTCTCTTGGGCTGAGTGTTCCTTTGTTCACCAAGCTAGCCAAAGATACAGCTGCGTGCCTTTTGGCATGTCTGTTTAAGCAACTCGTTAAGCATCTATTCTGCCCTTCAATATAATTCGTTAACAGTTTATCCTAAGGGGTGAATTTTGCTGGCTTAATGATACAGCTGTGCAGGCAAAAGCTTTCTGTTAAAAGAGGCTGTTACAGACCGTTGTAACAATGTCCACGTCACAGCTTGCAGTCTGAAGCTTGGTAAATACATTTTGTTGGTAGGCCAAGCTGCGCTTCTTCCTTCCCTTACCTTCCCAAAACCCACCTCCTGCCCATCAGCTGAACATGGCTGACTTCTTGCATGGGTAATGTCTTCGGGACAACAAAATGGGGGAAGGTTTCTAATAATATATACCTGAGCAAGTCAGCTAGTTTGGGATCTGACCCAAATACAGAAACAGTAAATGCATTGTGTACTCATTACCAGAAGACAGTTTACAGAGCTTCATCTTAATGTCAGCTGTGCACAATGGACTGAATTTGTCATCTGTCTGCAAAATCCAACAAAGGTAGCACGTGTGTTTTCATTGCACATTACATTGCATCCGTGTGTGCTCCACTGCTTTCTGTTTTGACAGTCATCAGAGCTGCTGTCCTCATCCAGAACTGGTACCGCTTTACAATGGCCCGAATAGAGATGAGGCGCCGCTACTCTCTGAGTATCTTTCAGTCAATCGAATATGCTGATGAGCAAGATCAACTACAGGTTTGTAATCTTCAATTCTTCCTGTACAAGCAGTTGTTATCCCCAGGGGACTGAAGTTGCACAAACAAAATGGGAATGTGTATGTGGTTATTTCTACCTACAAAGCTGTGTCCTGTAGGTCATCCCCCTGTGGGCGGGCATGTCTGTGAGGCAAGGTACGTGCAAGGGAGACATCAGTGTCTCAGCCTGTCAGCCCAAGCTTCCTTTAGGGTCAGTACAGGGAATTAGGAACTTCTAGGGCTTTGTGTTCATCCTAGCACCAGTGTCTAAAGTCAGTTTTCTGGATTGTAGCAGTTTCTTTCTAGGGACTACAAAGGAAGTCTAGGCAAATAGTCCAGATGATGAGGAAGATGAATTACACCCAGCAGTATTGATACAGCCCTGGAATTTAGCAGATCGACATTGTATGTATACATATAACTTAATAGCAGAGAAGGAAAGGAGTAAGCCATTTTTGTAGTATGACACGTGTTGTGTCATTATTGCAGCTGATGCTATGGGAACATCCAGTAGTGTCTTAGATCCCCCCTAAATTGCTAGTAACTGAGTAAGGAAAGAGAATGCTTGTTGGATCCTCTAAACTGATCAGTGTGTTTTTGTTCTTTTCTTTTCCATACTCAGCTATCCAACTTTTTTACGTTCATGCTGGATCACTGTACTCATCCTGAATCAGGTAAGGATAAAAATCAAAGAAATATGGAGATTCTGTTTGAAAAACCTGATGTGGGGCGAGTTAATTTTCAATGTGATGGTCACAGCCTATGGCAAATGCTGGGGCTAAGGTCTGATTTCTCAAATACTCTAATAAGAATTTGACCTGTAAGTGTTGACTCTGCTCAGTATCTGCTCAGTGAGTCAAGATGTAAGACAGGGCAGATACCCGTTGTCCTTATGAGAGTATTCAGAGGTACTCAGAGTGCTTTCTTATATGTCACTGCCCTTAAGCTGTTGTCATGGTAGTCTTACTGACTCCAATTTTCACACCTTTCTATACATGTTTTCTTAAACTATGAGATGTGATTACATGGAAAGAATGTGTCTAGTTGGTTTAGGAAAGGTGTAATCAAAGACTTTGCCTTCAAAGAGGTTGCTCTTCTTATTTTTCTTTTTCTTTTTTCCTTCAAGCAGTTCTGGACCATTTATTAATTTAATTTGTCCTAGATTTTGCTGCAAAACATGTATTAGTATGTGAATGATTAAAAATGAAATAAATTTAAACTGCTGGAGATAAATCTTTAGAAACCATCTCAATTAAAGATCAGTTATTCAAAGAATAACCTTTAATTTTGGAAGTATTTGGGGATCCTTGGACAAAACTTAATTTTGAGGTCAAGCTCAACAGAGGGACAGGCTGAGAGTGACTTCTTAAGTCCAGAAAATAAACATGACTTCCCTGAACAAATTGAAACTAGATCTAATCCAAGTGGAGTTAAAAAGGAGGCTGTCCCCTTTTTATTGAATCACAAGAGAATGTCCTTTCTCTTTCACCTGGTCCAGCCACGGGTTATTCCAATTAGAATTTGCACAAGACACTTTGATAGCAGGATAAAACCGCCATCAAAACAGTAAGTGGTTCAGTGTTCTAATGGCAACCATTAGAAAATGGCAATTTTTCTCTCTTAAATAGAGTGCCTAATGTTCTCTGTGCTCTGCAGAAAAAGAAATTACGTTTGAACCTTGCACCAAAGCCAAGGCAGATGATGCAGTAGTCCTTCCTTTCATTTCTTCCATTACCACTGTATTCTGGAAAAAAATCTTCTTTAGTCATTTAACTTCCTGGGATGGACTTGGCAAACTCAAAGAAAACCAGACACTGCTCACTTTATCTGCTTCTTCTACATGCTGATAGCACACCTCAGTTCAGCTTTTCCACCTGAGTGGGAAAGAAAATAGTAGTGCTATGTCTGAGATTTGGAAAAATAGTGTTAATTTCTATTTTCATTGTAATATTAAAAGAGAATTTTACAGCTGCTCATTGTAGATATGATTTATCCACCTTTATTAACTGTGTCTATCTACAGAAGGAACAAATATGAGTGAGGTACCTCAGGTGAGTTGCTGGGGATCAGGACATGGCTGGGTACAGAGCACAGTGCTACGTGCTGTCCTGGTTTTTAGCTGAAATAGAGCTGGTTTTTCTTTTTATTAATTAGAAGAGTGATATTTTGGTTTGCAGCCTGTGAGAGACATTGATAACGTACCAATGTTTACATTTTTGTCACTGGAAGTGAAGGACTTTGTGTTCTGTTAGTCCACAAGCACAAGATTTAAGGGGGGGAAGAATATTTGCATTAATAAACTTAACTGACAGTTAGATATGCCAATGGGGTATTCCATATCATATCACGTCATGTCCAGTATATCAGTGAGGGGCTCTTCCTCTTTTCTCTCTCTCTGGCTTTCCCTCGGGCTCTCGTTCTTGCGGGATTGTGGTTTCGGTTCGGGATTGTCGCTCCTCCGGGATCGTTATCTGGGAACGGGCCGAGCTCGGTCAGTGGCGGGGGGGGGGCTAACA